TTTCGAACTAATATGATTTCAATTCACATGCCCCTCTGCCAAATCGACAATTTTCAATATTTTTTCAAACTCTCGAATGTTTTGAGTTCTTAGAGAGCACTCTCACTGGCTTCTCAGTGTCTTCACTCATTCGCATAACTTTCAATCTTACCTTTTAGTACGTAGAATTGGCTGAACCTTCATATAAATACCTCCTTTCGAACTAATATGATTTCAATTCACATGCCCCTCTGCCAAATCGACAATTTTCAATATTTTTTCAAACTCTCGAATGTTTTGAGTTCTTAGAGAGCACTCTCACTGGCTTCTCAGTGTCTCCACTCACTTGCATAACTTTCAATCCTTGATGGGATTGGACGCTGGATTAATGAATTAACCATCCAACATCCAATTAACTTAATGAATTAAACTTCAGAATAAGAATAAAAATTGTCAACAAAATTAATTCAAACTTAAATAAAAAGAAACATACAAAATAAACTACAACTTTTGAATGTAACACAAAATAAATCTGATGTTTCATCCATCATCCAATATATATAGAAATGGTCGAATACTTCACATGAAATTGGAATCTTTCTCATAGGCATCACTTCAGTCATGACATTTCACTCTATCAACCAAAGTCGTTCAAAATCTAATGGTTTCTATTCCTCGTAATCCTTTAAAGTCAGATTTTATATAAATTTTCGGGGGGTAGGTTATCTTGTTTACAAATGTTTGCGTACAGCGTTTCAAATCACGCTTGGCGAATAATACACGCAAGTGTCATTTTGCTGCTATATGGCGACTTTATATGAAACTCTCCTTGTAATACCTAAAATTTGCTGAAGTAAATGAGTTAAAATCAATGAGAGGATGTGAAGACTTCAAGTCTCTTTGAGCCGACGGTGGCGCCCCGAATTTCAAAGGGGACGTCGCCCCTTTTCGAAAACAGTAAAAAAATGCGGGCGAAATCCGGAGTTTTTCCGCCATATCCGGGCATCCGGGCCGGGCGATTTTTCGTCCGGGTTTGGCCTCTAAAATCCGGGCGATCTGGCAGGCTTATTGTAAGATATGTGACGTCACAATACATTCTTATTGACTGCGTGCATCTCCTGTGTGAATAATTTTCAGAATGGCTTCAAGCAAGATGATCACGAACAAAACTCCAACTGCATCTGGATGGACACTTGAAGGTGGCTATGTAGATGGATTTAAAGGCAGAACTTATCCAAATCGTGTGATTGGTTCGGATCGAAAGCATTCGTTGGATTTGGTACTTTCGCTAAACGAACAAGATGAGCCTTTTGTGTGCCATTTATTTTTAAGCGGATTCACGGTACATTTGAATCCACCTGGTGAACAAATATCCGAATTCCAACTTGGCTCTGACGTTGAGACTTCGGTCGACGTAAAAATAACGATAAAACCGAAACTAAAAAGTATCTCAAAAGGTCTAAGTGCTTATAAACCAAATCAACGTCAATGTTTATTCAATTCCGAAAAGCGATTGCGTTTCTATAACATTTATACGAAAATCAATTGCGAAGAGGAGTGTTTGGCGAATTTCACCAGAAATGAATGTGAATGCGTAAAATTTTCAATGTCAAGTACGCTGTTACAACAGAATCAATTTACTTCCTGCAGAAATTCATCATTTTGTTTATTTTTTTGCAGGGGATAAGGATACAAAAATTTGCGGTGCAGCAAGTATTAATTGCTATAAAATGGCAAGGAAGAAATATGAGTCTTATGATGGTAAACTATTTCGTGACGAATGTAATTGTATGGACTTGTGCATTAATATTCAGTACGATTATGAAATTAAAAAGAATAATTTGTTGATGATGAGCGAGAACAACACTGGAGGATTTCAAAAGAGTCATACAGGGTAAGAGCCTGTGCTGCAAAATTCAATTTAATACGTTAATTGATTCAGTTTATATATTCTGCATCACATACCGACCAGGCAACTGTTTACACGAGTGTCGATCTTCTTTCAAGATAAAGAAGTCGAAATAGAAAAACGCGTCGAAAGGTACACTCTCACTGACTTTCTGACAATTTGCGGCGGTTTGGGGGGATTATTTTTTGGCATTTCACTTTTGAGCATCGTCGAAATGTTCTATTATGCGACACTTCGATTGTTCTGGATCATTTATCGACCAAGACCGCCGAAAATACAGCCGAAGGAGGATGACGAAGTATTTGGCCAAAATCTATACTACAAATATCGAGTGGTGAGATAAGTATTCTTTTAAATCAGTATTTATTTGAATTTGGTTACATTTTAAATGATTTTTAAATGTTACCTTAGACGAGATGGTTGTATATTTGTTGGCAAGTGATGCGGATCTTTTGTAAAGAGTTCTGTACAAAAAGTAACATTCATGGCCTTCGGTATTTAACGGAAAAAAAGCTGCATATATGTGAAAGGTAAATCTACTCTATCTACAAAACACTCAGGCCAAGAAATTGATTACATTTCGATTCTTAATAAATTAGATTACTTTGGCTTATATCCGTTGGCGTCGCTGTTTGGCTTAGTGGTTCCATGATCAAAACCACATATGTCCAATGGCAAGCGGATCCAGTGAAAATAAGCACAACAGACAGACTCTCACCGATCGAGACGATCCCATTTCCAACCTTAACAATCTGCCCAGAAATAAAAGCTCGAAAATATAAATTTAATGTAACATCAGCACTTGAGTCCATTAAGTCTCAATCTAATTTGTCTGATATAGAGTAAGAAATCTCAAAAAATCTTTCATTTTCTCTATTTTTCATAATAATCTTGGTTATTTAGCGCGATGCGTCTCAATGCGTTGACCCATGTCTGCCCATATCTACCAGCATACATTGAGCTTAACGATAATGTTGTGAGTGATTCAATCTATGACATCATTCAAGACATTGCTCCAACTATTCAAGGAAAATATAAATGGCCCGATGAAAAAATGCTGTCATCGCCCATATTGACTGAGTATGGACTTTGTTTCTCATTCAACGCTTTAAATTCTCATGAAATGTATACCGATGAGTGAGTTTTTTTCTGAACATGTAATCATAGTTTGAAAATGAACACTTTATTCGTTCTATCGTATCAACAGAATGACAACACACATGATGATGATTAAGACTAATCCAAATTCATCATCCTATTGGAGTCTTCAAAATGGATATTCAAACCCACAAGATAATCAAAATTATCCATCCCAGACAGTTATACATGGGCGAATTGATAATTTTCTTATTTCTATTGAAACTTTAAAAAATGATGTCGAGCCTCATTGCACTGGAATCGATCAAGGGTTTAAAATATTTTTGTCCACGCCTGGCGAAGCATTGCACAGGTCACAAAACTACTTTCGAGTGCCGCTTTCACATATTAACGTGATTAATATTGTACCTCAATTGACAATAACTACCGAAAAATTGCGTCACTTCAAACCGCATCAACGGAAATGTTTTTATGGCGATGAGCGGCGATTGCGTTTCTTCAAAATGTATACGGAAATAAACTGCAAAGGTATACCTGATTGAAGGTTTATTATATAAACAGTTTTAGAGCGCAAATCAACTGTAAAGGTATCAACTTTACTTCTTTCAGAAGAGTGTTTGGTGAATTTCACAAAACTAGAGTGTGGATGCGTGAAATTTTCGCAGCCAAGTAAATGCACTTTATACTTCAATATGTCTTCAGTTTAAGAATTTCATATTTATTCATTTTGCAGGAGACAGGAGTACTCAAATCTGTAGCGCAACAAGAATGAAGTGTATTACAGATGCACATCGAAAACTGTTAACCACAATTAATGGAAAAGCCTTCCATGAAGAATGTAATTGCATGCCTGCGTGTACGTTCATAAAATATAATGCATATGTCAGTAGAAGTACGATGAGCGCATCCTCTTTCGATAGAAATTTGCTTCCCAAAGAGTAAGGAATATAATATTTAAGTAAATTTAAATTTACACTAGTGTTCTCCTTTACACTCATTTTAGGAAATACATTACAAGCATTGGCATTGGATTTAAGGAGACAGAATTTATAAATACAGTCAAAAGAAACGAACTGTACACCTTTGCTGATTTCTTAGCTATTTGTGGTGGTTTGCTTGGTTTATTTATGGGCTTCTCAGCTTTGAGCTTCATCGAGCTCATTTATTTTGCCACTTTACATTTGTTCTGGAAGCTTCGATATTTAAAAGCGAAAAATGCTGTGGCACCAACTCAACTAGTGAGGAATGTGAGGCGACACCAAGAAGTTAATGCCTGGATGTAAAGCATTTTCATGAAAGTAGACTGGAATGTTTCCAATTCCAAAATTTTGTCTCGTTGAAAAATGAATATCAAAAATGGAATTGTGTAAGAATGTTAATACTAATGTGTGCATTTGTTGTATTTGTGTTTTTATTTTTCTATTTTGCCAATTAAAATAAATTGTTCATGAAATTATGAAGATCGAGAAGATTGCCTTCGAATGTTTTACTTAGAGCCATGTTATCATTGTTGTTTTTTCTCTTATCGCTTCAGTGTAGCTTAATTAAGTTCAATATTATTAAAGATGAGGATCGTCATAGTCTAAGTTCGAGTATACGTGGCCAGGCATCGAAGTAAATTATACCGGTCTTTTAAAAAGTACAGAAATAAAGAACTTTGAATCCTAATGAATCTCGGTGAATCATTTCAAGTCATGAATCTTAATATTGCGGAAGTCAGAAGTAAATCTTTTGTAGTGGTGAATCGGATCTTACCCTAAGTATTCTGAGAGTGAAGGCCATTAAGTACTTTCCAAATGTTGCCAAAAGTATAATACTACAATATACATATCAACATCATAATTTTATATCTATATGTCTCTCTGTTTGATATGAATTCGTCTTTGCTTATTCAAGATAGCTGCAAAGCTTTCCATTCACATAATCAATTCGATGAATTCTTCAATACACTTCATTTCAATTTGCAAATGATAGATACATCAATTTGTAGCAACCTTCTGTATGATTATGTCATGTTAGCACAGTATTGCAGTTTTATTTGAATGGATTAGGATTAAAGTGAGCTCAAATCCCCATCAGAATAAAACGGCAACATATTTTTTTTTGTATGGAGTTGTAGTTGTAACAACAAATCTGTGTAAACAAATCATGTTGCCCTTTTATTTTCATCGGGATTTGAGTTCACTTCAATTCATACATGTATATTATTTATTTATTCACCGTCTGATCACAGACTGAATTTATAACAAAATTTGTACAATATCGTTCACAATGAAACACCACCCGATCGTATACCCAGCCACCAGCCTTTTCGACTACGGAGCAGCAGATATCGATTGTGTTCACTGTTTTAATTTCTATATAACACATAAAAGTTGAAAGTTAAATTTTTCACCGTTCAAATATCACATTTTCCAATTTGACAATATTGTTTCTAAAGATGTGTCTTGAAGCCGATTCTAAAAATATTTCTCTTATCAAGTTAAAGTTTCTACAAGCTACGTAAAACGGCTGATTATGTGCATAATCCGATGAAAATGCTCTAACTCCAATCAGTTCTGTACTTCTCAAATTTCTTTGGTTCTCATTATATTGCAGTCTTGTATATACAATTTTATCTCTAAGTGAGCTAGACACTATTTTACTTAAAAGCAGATCATAAATTAAAAATATAGAGGCATTTATACGCCGTCTCCAAAGCGGTTGAATATTTAAAATATCACATCTAAACTGATACGGTGGCAATACATAATTCTCATCTCTCTGATATACATATCGTAACGACCAAATAACAAAATCTTTTTGAAATGATTCTATTCTATCGGAGTGGATACGATGGTATGGAAGCCATACAATACTCGCGTATTCCAATTTTGACCTAACTAGTGCACAATATAATATTTTTGCAGATTCGATCGTGTACTTATTTTTTAATGTTCGTTTGATGAAACCCATTGCCGCATGTGCACTGGCTGTAATCGCATCGATGTGGTTGACAAACGTTAGCCTGGTGTCAAATATCACTCCCAGTCCAAATTTCACTAATTTTTGCAACAATATCTTGTGGTTGACGCGATCGAAGGCTTTCTCGAAGTCGGTGTATAGCACATCGGTTTGATATTTTTCGACCATTGAGTCCATCGTGAAATTTACCTTTTGCAGTAAATTTATTGAGGATGATCGATTTTTCACGAATCCATGCTGATTATGGTTTATTTTTACATTGACGAATGTGTCGATTTTGCCATGGATCACCATTTCGAATAGTTTTGCAATCGTTGGTATTATGACAACTGGCCGGTAATTCGATGCATTGCTTTTTTTTCCCGGATTTGAATATTGGTACTATTCGAGAATTTTTCATTGACGCCGGAACACATCCTTGATTCAATGACTTACAGAATAGCACTGTCAACGGTTTTGCCAATGAGTGTGCACAGTTTTTCAGTAGTTTCGGTGATACCCCATCTGGACCTGCTCCTTTGTTTACGTTGATCGATTGCAATGCCTTCAATACATCATGTTCATTAAGTTCGATGTCAAGCGAGAGATCACCGCATTCATCCAGCAATTGATCCAAATCGATACTGTCGCTCTGTGTATATTGATTTTCGAAAAAATCAGCGAATAATTCTGCTTTCGACGTTTCGGTGTTTGCTACTTCATTGTTGTATTCAACAATAGCAGGAATATCACTTCTCTTTCTTCGGTCGTTCACAAATCGCCAAAAATGTTTCGGATTTGATTTGATTTGTGATTGTATGCGGCTGATGTATGATTCGAAGAGCTGGCCTTGTAACTGCATGAACGAATCGGTGATGTCATTATATTCGTCGGCATTGCCAGTCTCTCTCACCCATTCATTTGTCGAAAGAGGTGAAATAACATTGAATAATCGTAAAACGTCCTTCAGCAGATAATCTTCTTTCAGTGAATATCAAGTCACTATTTATTGGCATCACAATTGTTTGCTACCATTTGCTACATTTTAGGAGTGAAGTTAACAAATGAAAATGTAAATTTGTATCACTTTTGGTCTGGCAACTATAAATGCGTATACGTGTGTACATTATACAATAATACGCTTAAAATTTTCAAAACGAATAAGTTATCGTTAGTTATTTTTAAGCTCGCCATTCTTTGCGTCATTTTTATTATACTATCAAAAAATGACGTTGCGTTGTCTATCCACTCGCATTTTATTAAATTTTCACTTATTACGTTGCATTCTTGAAGTAAAAAGGAGAAAAATGAGAAAACTGTATACACTATATATAATGATAGACGTTCATGCAATGCGCATAGCAAAGATTCTCATTCTCTAAATGCCAACAGCAAATAAGTTAAATATTATTTTGGGTGTTATTTAGATATATTCTAACTCCATCTGTGTGTCCAGTTTTACTGACGACAAAAAGTTCCCACTGATTCAGTTCCAATACACTTTATCACACATCAATGTCCGTAGTGTGCGGGCACTTTTCGTGCTATCAACATAGATGGGCGAGCAAATGATGAAAGATAAGCGAAGAATCAGCACTACAAAGCACAGCATCAAGGCCAGTAGCAAATTGATAACCGTGCAAAAGTGGTGGTGGAGAGAGAGAGAGAGAGAGAGAGAGAGAGAATCGACGAGAGCATGACAATAATGGAAACAGAACAAGTATCCTTTACAATCTTATACATTCAATGAATGTGCAGTTAACAAAAACCCTCAATCGATCACACAGTATCGACGAATGAAATTTTGTTCCATTAGTTTGCGCTCTTTCGTCGTCATCTCTATCTATCTATTAGAGGTTTGGTAGTTTTCTTTCTTCTTTTCTAAACGAGCAATACAAATGATTTCATGTCATTCCCTAGCGATATGGTTTTGTTTTCATCTCTTCGTTTTGTGAACCATTCAGAAATTTACAGTCGAAAGCATTTTCAACATCTACAAAATAGCTAGTTGTTCTGCGTTTGCTTCTGGGTTATTTTGGAATTTTTGGTCGATGCACCAATCGAACGATTCATTTTATATGGAAATCGAAAAAAGAAAATATTTTTATGCCAATCCAAATGGGATGATTGAAACAAGCAAAGGAATGTACTTGTTAAGATGATTGGCGCACTGAATTTTTGGTGCTTGGTGTATTCACAAAAATTTTTTGTATACCATCCATCGATTTCGATATTTCGACTATATGTTTAAAAGGAAATTATTGTTCATATTCGTTTCCTAAAGCTCATGATGTTTTTAGGTGGATGTGCTGTTTTTGATTACCAATTGATTGAAATTTGGTGCATTTAAAATCGAATAAATTTAAATTTTCTACTCATTCTGTGTTTTGCTTCAATACGAATTACGTTGTAAAAACGTTTTTCAAAAACTGAGGCGAGTTTAAATTCTGATACACAACCATACAATGCTATCAAGGGAGCTTTTGGTCAGTAAAAAAACTGGTTACATATATGTTGGACCACTTGACTACGGAATGTATGCTATATGTACAATGTAGAGCGCACCTATGCATGTACTATCATTTGGCAAGGTAAGGTTAAGGGCCACAGTACCTTTTTGTGGTTGCATTGAATGAAGAAACAAGATTTTGTATCGAGCAGTATATTAGATGCGGTGAATTAGATTTTCATGAATCCATTCATAGTGTGTAGTATGTACATTGTCCAAAGTGGCTGAAACATTTACTAGCATTATTTGGCACGTTTTTTTTTTGTTCTGTTAAACTTCAACTGACGAGGTAAAAACCAACATCCACAATGTTATGAAGTGCAAAAATAGCACACCAGAGGAAATAATGCAAAATCCGAAGTTTGGATTCCGAACTACGTTAGTATTTGTAAATTGATGGTAACAGAACATGAAAACAGAATAAACACCATAACGACTAAAAAAAAACTAGAAAAACACACAATGGATACTGTTCTATAAATAAATAGTTACTACTTGATAAATAATCAATTGTTTGTACATTTTCTCCATCAATTTGGAATAATGATGATTTTTACGATCAAATTATATTGACAAATATTTGCATCTCTCTGCCATTTTATGGGTGATTGAATTTACGGAATAAGTAGTATTTCCAGTATCAATTGAGTTGATTCGACTGGTTTATACTCATATTGATCGATCCAATTCTTTAAAAAGATTCTGATTCAACTAAAATCATTTTCGACTAGTATTGCCAAATGCCAATTATAAAGATCTGTAGAATAAAAAGCATCGCTCTGTTGTTGTTTGCACACAAGTTTATCTATACATATCTCAAAAGCAAATTTA